AGGCAGGCACACCCGCAGCAGTCACAGCAGGTAGCTTATCTCCCAGCACGCAAGTCACTCCCCCAGTTCCTCTTTGGTTGAGTGCTGTGGAGTTGCAATCTTCCCGGAGGTCGCCTGAGTTTCATTATCCCCCTCTAAGGTTGTACCCCGTCCCCTTACCTGCATACGTTTTTATTTCCCAGTACCGAAACTTTCTTCACATTTGTGGGTTGACCCTCCTCTGCATTTTGTTCATTATTGTGGCCTTCCCGGTGCGTGAGCCGTGTGGTTTGTTCCCTCCGCAGGCTGGCCGCCAGTGCGCAGATTGATCACGCCTGGAAAATGGACCATTTAAAATGTTTTCTTACACCATCGAAGCACATCTGGGCTGATTCCAGTTTCTGGTGCTTATGAATAAAACAGCTATGAACAACTGAGTGGGGGTTATGGGACCATTTTTGACCTGTAGTAATGGTGGGCTCACATGGCTGAGTCGAGTTAGGTCAGGTGCTGAGTGCCTGCTGCTGCACATTAGGTGTTTCTGCCTGAAAGCAGCAGGCACCATCTTGTCCTTTCAGGTTCACTCTGACCACACATCTCATACCTTCTCTGTGCATGTATTTGAAGTTACTGAAAAGGTGTGTATCAGGAAAGCCGCAGCTCTGCACTAGTCTCTTAAAACCCATCCGTGTGCTCCTGTACTCACTGGGTTTCGTGAAAGGAATGTACAGCCGCCGTTGTGTGGGAAGTAGGGAAAAGACAGACCTGACCCTGAGACAGGCTGGTGTGACTGCCGTTTGGAGCCCAGGCTAATAGTGCTGGTTAGTCAGCCAGTGTCGGGGGCAGACGCCCATCGTCAGTGGCTCCCCTGTGGACCCTCCCACTCAGCCTAACACGGGTGAAAATCATCGTTTGCATACGGTCATGATTGAAAAAGTGCTCTGGCTAACAGCGTTTTGAGACCAAGGCCAGTGTAGGGACCAGTGTTTGCTAACACGGACTCCTGGGCTCTGAGGGTGTTGGGAAAGTGGCTCACGGGAGGGAGCTGAGGGGCCTGAGCTCACAGCTGTGAAACCAGAGTGGCCCTTGGTTGTCTGAAGGAGCAGGCGGTGTGGGGCAGCCACAGGCCTCATGGTTTTTCTTTGCTATCAGTTGGAATTAGTCAGTGTGGATAAAAAGAATTGCTCATCTTAGTGGACTGAAGACTATGGTTAGCAATTGTAGATCTCCTGATTGAAAAAAGTGATAATTGATGTGCCTTGATATAAAGAAAGAAAAAAAGAAAAAGTGATTAAAGTGGGAGTGAATTAAACATTCATAGAGTTGTGTAGGTCACAGTCTCCTAAAACTTGTGGTTCTCTTAGGAAAGAAAAGGGAGACTCTGTAAAAAAAAAGTTAGCAATCTTGAACTTCCGTTCCTTTCCAAAAATAAGCGTCAGGTCTGCCCAGCTTCCTTCCCAGGGAGGCTGTCATTCTGTTTCGGACAGTGCTTGTGGCCGTGACTGTTTGTTGAGAGCCTGCATAAAGCAGCTGTCATGCAGCAAAGCGAGGGGAGAGCCGATGACGTTGGAAGAAGTGGGGTGCGATTGGGTCCGCGCGAATGTCGTGGTGTTACTTGACAGTTGTTTGGATATTTATTCTTAGACAGGGTCTCAGTGCCTTGCCCAGGTGGAGTGCAGTGGTGCCACCCTAACTCACTGCAGCCTTGGGCTTCTGCGCGGACGTGATCCTCCCACCTCGGCCTCTTAAAGTTCTAGGATTATAGGTTTGCCCTGGAACTCTTTCTTCTTATGTAAGTGTAACTTTTTACCCATTGATTGTATTAAATAATTTTCTTTCCCTATCCCTAATGTGGCAGCTAGCCCATTTAAGGAGTTGGTGAGAGTAAGGAGTCTAGAGTAGTAAGAGAAATTTAAAACCTTGCATTGCTCCACCATTTAGAGAGAACTGCCATTAGTATTAAAAATATCTCCTGGTTTTTCTAACACAGAATGCGTATAGCAGACGTCCTCAGCACCTGGGATTGTCATCTTGTCCTGTTGCCATTTCTATAGGTAGAAGCATCTCCCGTTGTTTCACCTGGATTATGGTGTTGGTTGTGCCTGTGTGCCGACCCTCAGCCCCACCTCCAGACATGGACGGGTGATGGTCCCATGCCTGACTCCCTGGTCCCATCACCACACACTGACTCTTCCTATCTCCATGGGCTCTGTCTGCACTCGGCCTCCACTGACCTGTTGATTTCTGAGTTGCTGTAGACATGAGCTGACAGTAAGAAGTGTCGCCTGGTGCTTTTCTGTTTGACAACATAGCTTGTTTATAGTTGTGGTGGTTTTGATGTGAACATGTATTCTAAATGAAGTTTTTTTTTCATACCTTAGAACATTTCTTTACTCGGGAGGCTGAGGTGGGAGGACCCCTTGGGCCCAGGAGGTCGAGGCTGCAGTGAGCTGTGTTTGTACCACTCCATCCCAGCCTGGCAACACAGGGAGACCCTGTCTCTTAAAAAAAAACAAACTGTGATGTTTATTCCAAATATTTTAGAGGCTCTGGATTGGTATTTTCTTCCAGAAATAATGGGATCAGTTACTGAGATTTTCTCTTAGTCAGAAAGAAAAGACCTTTAGACCAGAATTTTCTCTTCCCAACTTGCTTTTAATACCCTGCAGGACCCTAAGACAACAAAAAACTTAGTTTTGTTTTACTTTACCTGATTTGGGCCCAGTTTTTTCATATATGTGAAACAGCAGTTGGATTAAAGCCGTAGTTCTCCCTGGCGTGTTTTCCCCTTTTGCCGACATCATCTGGAGACATTTTTGGTTGCCAGGATTTGCTGGGTGGCCCTTCTGGCACCTAGGAGACCGACGCTGCTCAACCCCGTTGCGCACTGAACCCAGATGCCAGTGGCACTGAGCGTGCGAATTGTTTGACTCACGGCGCTTTGAGTACCCTCAGGACTCGGGGGGTGGATGCTGGGGTTCCTTGCTGGCTTCCTGCTGCCGATACTCCTCCCCTCTCTGAGCCGTTTCACGGACACTTTGTGGCACACTTGCTGCTTTCACTGAAACCAGGCTGCTTATTCACATTGATTGTTACTGATGGATCGATTGAGGCTGGAGTGCAGTGGTGTGAGTAGCTCTGGTCACAGGAACACGCCACCATGCCCGGCTAATTTTTTGGATTTTTTGTAGAGATGGGGACTCACTGTATTGCCTGGACTGGTCTCCAACTTCTGGGCTCAAGCAGTCCACCTGCCTCAGCCTCCTGAAGTGCTGGGATTACAGGCGTGAGTGCGCACACCCAGCACACATTTATTTTTAATGGTCCTTGAGGTTAATGGTAGCTTTGAACAATCCTGTCCAGGAGAGTAAGGAGGGAAAAACCTCACTCCATCTTTGCAAAACACACATGTCATGAGTGTTGCTCAGGAAACACGCGATTCTCTTGGATGCTAAGTGCAGAGCTGGGGAACCTGCACCAGCAAGCCCTGTCCTGGGAGCTGCCTTCAATCCTGTCTGTGCTTCCCTCCCTGGTTCTGCACATGGAAGTGTGTGGAGTTGGAGGAGAGCCTGATGCTTGGATGTTACTGAAGTAACATGGGTGTGGATTTTTTTTTTCTTCCCCCATTTAGACTGGTTTGTTTTATTCTTGGAGCCCCCAGAGCTCTTCAGGGAGATTATATAGTTTTATTCAGCTCCCTTTTTTTTTTTCTTTGAAATGGAGTCTCGCTCTGTCGCCCAGGCCGGAGTGCAGTGGCCGGATCTCAGCTCACTG